AAATAATGTTTATAGATTTCAGAGCGGAAGGGAGAGGGGGAGAGAGAGAGTAACATCCATGATGGGAGAGAATCATGGATCGGCGACATTCTGCACGCCCCACACGTAGGATCAAGCCCGCAACCCGGGCCTGTGCCCTGACCAGGAATCCAACTGTGTCCTCCCGGTTCAGAGGCTGATGCTCAACCCCTGAGCCACGCCGCCGGTTAAGGCCCTGAAGCTCGGGCCCTCGTGGAAAACGTTCCTTCCACATGACACACCTCGCACTGGCTCCCACTGGGCAGTCAGAGGACGAGCTGCAGGTTTCTGTGAGACCCAGCGTTGCCTTAGCTCGGGAAGCAGCATCGGGCCTGTAAGTGATTTCTCCACGACTCGCCTGCACCAGGCCAAGCAGAGGAAGGAGGACGGTGTGGGCCGGCGTTGCCTCGGGCCTGCGGTCACTACGGCAGGCCGGGCGCCCCCTCCTCGGCCCCTGCCTGGGGATCGCCCCCCGGCTCCTGGAAGGTGAGAACACGTTGTGAGGAACGTACACTTTCTGTGTCCTCTGCACGATGCGGCTGCTTCCCCAGGACATCCCGGCCACTCGGCGGCCGCAGCCGGGAAACACATCCGCGTGGTCACTGCTCTGCCAGGACCGTTGCGCTTCTAAGGACTGCGTAGCACGCCCTCCTCGCTCGCACTCCTGGAACCCGGTCCGTCCCCTGAGAAGGGCACCTGTGGCTGCTTCAGACCCCGTTGGCCCAGCCACAGCTGCCTCCCATAGGGCACCCTCCACGCAGCCGCTGGCGTGGCTGAGGGGTTGAGCGTCCTCAACCCAGGAACCAGGAGGTCACGGTTGGGTTCCCCGTCAGGGCACCTGTCCATGTTGGGGGCTGGATCCCCAGTGCGGGGCGTGCAGGCGGCAGCCGATCCATGATTCTGCAGAGGAAAGAGAACAGTCAGTGCAGCGGCTTCTGGCCCCGAGGCCTGGCCCTGGGCCTCCTACTCTCCAGGGAACGGGCAGGAGCCACGGGCCTCCATGCCTGGGAGACGGGGGTGGGGGCCTTCGCCTCTGATCTTGGCAGCAGCCCCCAGAACTTGGAGAAGGGCCTGAGGACAGCCCTGCCCCAGGGGACCAGCCCGATCCCCTCCCCACTGCCCGCCCTTCCCTTCACCAAGGAGTCCTGTGTCATCATGTGGACGCGCTTCCGCCCTGTGTAAACGGGGTGAGTATGGGGTGCACTGTTTCTGCTTCGTCAGACAGAGAGCCCTCTTCTTTCAAAGACTCCCGTGCACGCGTCACATCACATACTGATGACGTTTACATTCAGTTTCTTCACAGGAGAATCCATGCGTTTTCTGAAGGCCTGGCTTCCGCGTTGGCCAGGCACGGACGCCCCTTCCCAGCTCAGCGTCCTGCTCTCGCGCTGGACACGCCTCCCGCTGGGCATGCTGGGAGGGTCTGGGTTGGGCTGTTGCTGACACGCAGTATCTAAAAATTATGTGAAACACCCGTTGCTTTTCCTTCCTGAGGCCAAAGAGCTCCCTGGCTCCCTGATGCTTTTTTGTGGTGCGCAATTGCCTCAGGACGGGAGGAGATGAGCCTGGAAATTGTCCCTGTAAAAAGGGAAAATGACCCAGAAAGGGAACGTGATGTGTGCGAATTGAAAGGGCAATGGGCATTTCAGGGCTCCCTGGGGCCCAGGGTGTCTGTGATGGTGGCGCTGTCCAGGGTGCTGAGCAAGCCCAGGCCAGACAGCGACAGCTCACTGCCAATGGTCCAGTAGCCTGTTACTCAGTTACTGGATGCCATTGGCTAAGCATCGAAGCTCCTTTCTGAGCGGAATAAGGACTTACTAACTGGCAAATCCATGAGGTTTTCTACCACAGAGCATTTTAAAGTGGAAGCCGGTGACCACAAAGACGCAGCCCATGGCCATGGACAGGTGCCCTTCACCCCGGGCTGCTGGGCATCTGCTCCCTACCGCCTCCCGCGGGGCTGCTCCGTGCTCTCTTAGGAGATGGTCTGAATCCGTGCCTTTGCCTCGGGTTGCCCGCAGGTATTCATGGCAGGGAGAGCGTCACTCGATACCCCTGCTGGAGGCCGTGAGGGGCGTCAGAGTGCGTCACACACCACGCAGGCCTCCGGGCTTTGTCCTGTGACCTGACGCCGTGCGGCCCTGTCTCCAGCCCCAGCCCGCTGTACCGCTGGGCCTTAGGCCAACATTCCTGAATAAAACACCGGAGGGAGCCCTGAAAGAACTAAGTCTTTGCCCTAACGGTGTGGCTCAGTGGATAGAGCGTCGGCCTGCAAACTGAAAGGTCCGGGTTCGATTCCGGTCAAGGGCATGCACCTGGGTTGTGGGCACATCCCCAGTGGGGAGTGTGCAGGAGGCAGCTGATCGATGTTTCTCTCTCATCGAAGTTTCAAACTCTCTATCCCTCTCCCTTCCTCTCTGTAAAAAATCAATAAAATATATTTTAACCAAAAAAAAAAAAGCAAAACGAAGAACTAAGTCTTGTACGTCCACGGGAGAAGGGAGAGGCGCGAGGAGTGGAAGCCGAGGTCATCGTGTCTCGGGGGCGTGTGGGAGCCGCCGGGCTGGGCACCATCCGTTCTGGGCAGGATGATGGGAAGGCCGTGCCGCACACTCCAGGCTGGTTGCTGTTCCCTGAACGAGCCACCGACTGTCAGCGACGGGCTTCCTGTGGGGGCTTTTAATCTGCAGCACATTTGGTCACCGTGAAAACAGTGAATCAATTGCAGAGACCTCTCCAACCCAGCCCAAGCGTTGGTTTCTGAGAGTATTGTTTCGTGGCATTTTTACTAAAGGTGAAATCGGTTTTTCCATTAACATTCCCTAGCAGTTTCTGTTCTTCTTATGCATCGGCCAGGACTGTGTGACGGAGCTGTGCTGCCCCCACCAGTACCTCCTGCGACACCCACAGCCCTGGCCCATCAAAGCTGGACCAGGGGCAGTTGCGGAACATGCAAATGCCATAGGGGCCACTAGGGGGCGCTGAAGAGCAGACGGGTTTCTTTGCCAGCATTATTTCTCAGAGCTGTTTCACCAAATATTTTAAAGATCTTTTTTTTTTAAGTAAGAAGGGGGAAGAGGAGGAGAGAGAAAACTGGAAGAGGGAGAGAGATGGGGGGAGACGGGGGCAGCAGACACGGGGAAGGAGTGGGAGAGACCTGATTCCCCACCAGGGCACATGCCCGGTTGTGGAGTCTGTCCCAGTCAGGGGCGAGCAGGGGGCAGCCGATCCATGATGTCTCTCTCTCGTCAATGCTCCTGTCTCTCCCTTTCCCTTCCTCTCTGTCTCAAATCAATGAAAACATATCTTAAAAGTTATTAAAAATAACAAGGGGAAAAGGAGGCGAGAGAAAACTGAAAGAGGGATTAAGAGGAGGGGAGGGGGGGGAGCAGAGATGGGGAAGGGACGGGACAGACCTGATAAGAGCAGTAATGTTACTGCAAAGCCAGGAACGATGTGGGATGTATATCTGAGGCCCGTGAGGTCAGGTGTGCACGTGTGACTACTTTTTGTGTCACTATCTCTATGTGATCGGGGTCAGAAAGTGCTATTGATTCACTCTTGAGGTTCGGGTCAGGGGGTTCTCTGCCCTTTGGTTTAAAGTCAGTTGTTTATGTCCCTTCTTCCCAGGTTCACCACACACACACACACACTTATACATTCATACACACACAGACTCACACGCACACACATGTTCTGTAACACGTCACATAATCATCAGGCCACAGGGCCCTCGTTCTCAAGAAAGTAGCTCATTTTATATACTTATTTATATTTTTTAATAAAATAAAATTTAAATCTATATACATATTTTATTTATTTCAGAGAGGAAGAGAGAGAGAGAAACATCAACAATGAGAGAGAATCATTGGCCGGATGCCTCCTACAGGCCCCACACTGGGGACGGAGCCACAACCCGGGCCTGTGCCCCGACCAGGAATGGAACCGTGATCTCCTGGTTCATAGGTCGAGGCTCAGCCACTGAGCTATGCCGGCCAGGCTCTCGCTCCCATCAAGCTCAGGGCTTGTCCAGTGGGAGGCACATGTGGAAGGTCCCCCTGTGGCCATGGCTTGTCCAGCTGTGACGGAACCCACTCACCTGTCGCAGACCCGGCTGGAAGCCGCCTGCGGGGCCTCGCACAGGGGCTGCCTCTCGGCAGCCAGAGCCGATGTGCGTCTCACTCGAGGCCGATGGGCTTCTTTCTACAGCAGGCGATGCTCTCCCGCGAGGCGCGATTGTGCGACACGGCGTCACTGGCCTTCCTCTGAACATAACTAATATTTATGACAACAACACAGACTCCTTCCTGGGAAATTTCCCGTTTATTTGGAGCAAGTGTTTTCTTGTAAATTTTACTTCAATCAAGACACTTAACAGGGGATTTATCTTCTTAAAGACTTTGAGGTGTTGACAGTCGGGGCAACGTGTACAGCGGGTCTGTGGAACGGACTCACCTTGGACCTCATGCCTGCTCTTTGATAACCACCGTCCCTCCCCCTCCCCACCCCCCAGCCCACCCCCCATGCCAGCCCCTGGTTCTGTGAAGCCGGCTCTTCCCAGACCTCATGGGACCAGAGCTAGGGGCTCGGCCTTTCTTGTGCTGAGACTTTCTCGTGGCCTGGACCTCTTCCGCGTGTTTCTGTGAGATAGTTGTTCGCAGGGGATGACATCCACCTGGGTTTTGTCTTCGGGATACACCGTTCACCCCATTTCCCCTTCAGCACCACCCCGGCCGCGTCCCTCATTCCCTGTGCGTCCCGGAGGGGGCAGGAAGCTCTCCAGCGACGAAGCCGGCGGGTGGACTTTGAGCCCGTGGTGTCTCCTGCTGTGCCCGCTGCTACAGGACAGGGCGCATGTGGGCAGGGCCCCGTGGTTGCTCAGGGCCAGCGTTGGTGTGACAGCACGAGGGCAGCAGGGCTGGGCGGCCTCTGCTAAGACGTCTTCCCAGGTAACGGGCTGTTTCTGTTCTGTGGCTGCGCAGGGTCGGCGCGAACGTGCAGTTCTCCTGTGAGGACAGCTACGTGCTGCAGGGCTCCAAGAGCATCACCTGCCAGCGGGTCACCGAGACGCTGGCTGCCTGGAGCGACCACCGGCCCATCTGCCGAGGTGAGCGGGGCGGCGGGTGGCACCGGGACCCCCTCTTTCTTTAGGGTTCCCGGGTTTTTCTGAATCTGCCATGAGATCACGGCACAGAGCCTTGGGCGGCGACAGAGCTGAATTTGATGGTGTATCTGTTCCCAGGGACGTGGGTAACAGAAATATTTCCTTGACATTCGTTAGGAGGCAAACATTCCCAAAGACATAGTTTAAAAATTATGGTTTAAAAATTCAGCCCCGCTGGTGTGCTCAGAGGTTAACTATCGACCCATGAACCAGGAGGTCACGGTTCGATTCCCGGTCAGGGCACATGCCCGGTTGTGGGCTCAATCCCCAGTGTGGGGCGTGCAGGAGGCAGCCGATCCATGATTCTCTCTCATCACTGAGGTTTGTATCTCTCTCTCCCTCTATCTCCCTCTCTGAAATCAATTTAAAAAATCATTTAAAAATTCAGAAAAACGAGCAAATGGAGTCATTCAAACTCACACACGCATATGCAGTGTCAGTGGGCCTTCCGCGAGCTGACTGTATTTAAATGCCCAGCTTGCACATGTATGAACTGTTTACATAACCAGACCCCTGCTGATGTGGAAGGGATCGCCTTCAACGGCAGTGGAGCGAATGCCTGGGTTGTGGTGTTGTTACCGTGGTAATGAGCTGGTTGCTAATAACAGGAAAGGAGCAAAGGGGAGGCCGTGCATTAGAGGCGCGTCAGCCTGGCAGCTTCACCAGGAACCTGCAACATCACTGTCCCCAGGGAACCACCTGTTCATTCCTTGCAGGTCATTGTGGGGAGGGGTCCGAGGAAGGGGGTGATGGAGGTGTATGCAGTGAAGTCAGGGTGAGGTAGGGAACGTGCCTGTCAATCAAACCTGGGAACAGAGGTTGTTGCTAGAAGCAGTGGGGCCTCTGCAGAGTGCGAAATCGAAGGTTAAAATCCCCAACAGGTGGGGACATGAGAGGTGCAAAGGGTTGAGTAGCAGGAGCGCAAGCTACTATTTCATTAATAAATTATCTTCAACTAATCTCCGACCTCGTTAGTGGCACCTTAGACCTAAGTTGAATCAAGCGTGTTTGTAGGAGGAATCAAGTGTGTTTGTACGGCATGAATTGCACTTGCTGCCTCTCGCATGCACTGTGCCTGGCAGTGCTGTGCATGGCCCAGGGGCATTGTACCGCCTCTCTTCTGGGTGAGCCCGGTCAGCTCTGGGTGTCAGGGGCCTCCAGCGGTCCTTGCCTGGTCCCTGAGCCCTTAGCCTGGGCCCTTCTGGGACGAGAGAGATTGCTCTGCTTCGAGGTTGTTTTACGTGGTGTCTGAGGTGGACAGATAGGGAGCCTGGTGTGAGGCTGGTCCGTAGGCCGTGCAGACCTGTAAATGTCCTATATAATAAAAGCCTAATATGCAAATCGACCGAACAGCAGAACGACCGGTCGCTATGACACACACACACCGCCAGGGGGCAGACGCTCAATGCAGGAGCTGCCCACAGGCCCCAGGCCAGTCAAGGCGGGTGTCAGTGGTGGCCCCTGATCACCCCACCGGTCACCCTACAGATCGCCCTGATCGCCGGCCAGGCCTCGGGACCCTACTAGGCACGAATTCCGTGCACCGGGCCTCTAGTTGTATACAAGAGGGTCTTTGTTGGTTGTTTCTTTGTGTCTCTGTTGTTTGGTTTAATTTGTTTAAGGAAGGGGCACTTCCCGTGTTGCTGGGGGCCCGGCTGCTTGTGGCAGGCTGACCCGTGGCAGGGAGTGCAGGAACTTCAAGGCACCAGTCGCCAGAAACTCTTTGCTAGGGAGGGTTCTTGTCTGTCTGTCTGTGATGTAACTTTGGTTGCTGCTGTGCTTTGCTTGCTTTCTATCTTTTGGGGCTTAGCTTGCACCTCGCTGTTTAGGGACGTGGGGAATCCTCTGTCTCTGCGATGTGGGCTGTGTGCCACTCAGAACCCATTTGCTGAGCTGGGTTCGTGAGATACTATTCTCAGGCCAATGTCCCAGTCCACCCTTTGCGAGCACTCGCTTGTTTACTGTGGGGGTTTTTGTTTGTTTCTGTTTTTAAGATCTCTTCTTATACGCAAGATTTCATGTCGTTGCAGTCCATTCAGAAAGAAAAATATGGGAAATAAAACCTTCGGGGCCCCCAAGTCTTTTCCTAGGAGGACCAGCTCTGCAGAGGTGCCCTCCAGCAGGCTGCAAAACAGCAGTGGGGGCGGGGGGCCCTCCCATCTCGTAAAGAAAAATAAAATAAAGTAGTACTTTCCCATTAAAGCCACTGGAGGCCAGTGAGTTATTCCTGTTACAAAACTTGCCAAGAAAATGCCTTGGGTAATAATAATCGGCTTTAAAATCTCCAAGTTGTTCCGACATAATAAATAGATGTAACTAGAATGAAGGATTTATGATAAAGCTTTTCAGTGATAATTACATATGCCTGTACATAATTTTCCAAAGTCCTTGGCAACGTAAAACCCTTTTTGTTGAGCCGGTAATGGTTGGCTCCCTTCACGTAGAAGCAACCCAGCTGGCCTGCGACCTGGTAAAAGCCCCGAATGCCACCTCCAGGGCTGCACATGGGATAAATCAAGCGCTGAGCCAGGCCAGGGAGGCAGCGAGAGGGCCGGGCAGCCATAGATGGTTTGCTTTTGCAGCATAACCACGGTGGAGAGGAATTCAAAGGAATGTGCCCTCTTAATCTTTTGGACAATTCTCAATTAATAGAAGACAACATTCAACAAATTAGGGAAGTCACCTCCAAGGTAAAACAAGGAGAAGGGCTTTTTGGATTTGACTTGTCCAGCCCGTCTGGGTTGCGGGAATTCTTTTTACTTTTTCTCCTGTTTATTTTCTCTAGCCTGACAGCTCGCTGCTGTATTCAACGTCTTCCTCTTTTTAGATCCTGTATTTGCTGTATTCCATCCCCAAGAACTGCTTTCAAGGCAGAAGCAAATGGAGTCTAACAGGCTGAGAGTTTTCTTCTAAAAATAACCTCATAGACACGAGAGGATAAAAACGGCAGTGGGGGAATGACAGGGGCAGAAATAGAATATTGGGGACCGGCTCTAATGATAAGAAATATTAGTCATGCGCCTTTAACTGTGATTGTTTTGTTCTGATTAAAGAAAACACATGCTGCCCAGCTGGCGTGGCTCCGTGGTTGAGCATTGACCTGTGAACCAGGAGGTCACGGTTCAATTCCCGGTCAGGGCACATGCCTGGGTTACAGGCTCCATCCCAGTGCAGGGCGTGCAGGCAGCAGCTGATCGATGATTCTCTCATCCTTGATGTTTCTATCTCTCTCCCTCTCCCTCTTCTCTCTGAAATCAATACATATATATATACATATATGTATATATATATATATATATATACACATATATATACATATATGTGTATATATATATATATATATATATTTTAAAAAATTTTAAATAAAGAAGACATATTCTCACCTGGCTGGGAGTTGTAGGGGACCAGGGGCTCACCTGGAAGTGCAGCCCATCCTCCCCACCAGGGAGTTGCCTGTTATCATGGAAAGATTGACGTCCTGTTGCAGAGACCAGAGCTGCCAGCCCACTGAAGACCCCGGCCCTTTGCATATCACTAGCCTTTGAAGACCCGCAGCCCTTTGTACACCCACAGGCCATTGCAAATCCCAGCCTTTGCACACACACAGGCCATTGCAAATCCCAGCCTTTGCACACCCACAGGCCATTGCAAATCCCAGCCTTTGCACACCCACAGGCCATTGCAAATCCCAGCCTTTGCACACCCACAGGCCATTGCAAATCCCCAGCCCTTTGCACACCCACAGGCCATTGCAAATCCCAGCCTTTGCACACACACAGGCCATTGCAAATCCCCAGCCCTTTGCTTACCTGCAAACTGCCCATTTGCCCTTCTGCCTACTTCCCAGGTAACCTTTGTCCTTCTCCCCAATGTCAGCAGCTGGCTTATGGGGGACAGAGCAGATGTGTGGGGGTGACCTGCTGCTCTCCCGCTGCCGGCAGGACTGGAATGAGCGCTCATACAGGAGCCAGCCCTGTGGCTGCTGAATCGGCTCCGGTAGCAACAGGCAGAGCGGCCCCCTTGGTTGTTGGTTACACTTGTGGTGTTGTACGTGTAGAGCACACAGCTGAGCAGTGCCCCTGGCACCGAGGGTGTGTTGGGGCAAGGCATGGTGTGGCGGGGCTGCAGGTGGGTGGCGTGGTGGGGCGTGGCATGGTGTGGCGGGGCTGCAGGTGGGTGGTGTGGTGGGACGTAGCCAGGCTGCAGGGGGGTGGCCGGGGCAGCTGGCGGTTTTCCGGGCAGGACACTCACCTCCAGTCAAACAGCTGTGACTGGCTGTGCCCTGGCCTGTGGCCCCTGGGCCGCTTGTATGCGGCCTCATCCTACACGTGACGTTGTTGGCTTTCAGAGGAACTCAGGGAAGCTGATGTCCCGCCCGGGGAGGTGATAGACAACGTTCTAGTCATTAATGAGGACGCGGCCCAGGTAGGATGGTTCCCCCGAGGAAAATAATGCGCTTTTATTCTTTAATGCGCTCCTTGCTGTTCTACCCCAGCAGCATATGTAACAGCTGTAAAGGCCAGACTAGACAAAACTCGTAAATCCTCACCTGTCCTCCGTGGTTACAGAAACACAAAGGGAAGGTGTGGAGAGGGTACTCCTGGACTCTTATCTGATTTATGAATCCATAACTTTCCCTCCATGGCCCTGAATCTCATCGTACACACAGACGCTGTCTCAGTGTCCGCCTACTCAGACGCTGACGTGCTGCGAAGCCCTCAGGCCTTGGCCCTTAGCCCACAGCTCCTGCATCCAGGTCTCAGGCACGTCCCCCCCCCCACACTCTGCCTCTGCCCCCCACTCCCGCTCAGAGGGGCAACGAGAAGAGGCTGTCTCCCCCACTCGCCGAGCCTCCCTGTCCCCCCGGGTCCCAGTTTCCTGGAGAAAAGCCCCCCCACGGGCCTCTGGTGGTGGCTGGCTTGGCTTGGGGTCCCGTGAAACTC